CAAACTTTAATTTCTATCATTTTTTATCAGAAAAAGGTTTTTTGTTTTATTTTTTAAAGACACGGTACGTAAAGGGAAAATATCAACTGCATTCTCCCGTCAGATTAACAAAGTAAAAGGGATGGAAGATGCCTGCTCTTACGACTATGGTTATTGACCCGGTTCTTCAAAAATCCTGTGCAAAAACCCTTACAAAGAATATTTTATGCGATTTTTATGTAAGTTTAAGATTACAATTTTGTTGTTTTAAATCAGTAAAGTAAGGAATAAAATTGTCAGTTGTGGAAACAAGTAAGTCGAACTAAACACGGCACTTGCCACAAAACCTTCGTGTAAGTAGTTTGCATAGTAACTAGCACAGCGGCGTGCACAGTGAAAACGTCAAAGACAGCACTGATCGACAGGGCAATTTCTTTTGCGAGACCTTTCAGGCACATACAAATTATTTATTCTTCAACGCTCGTTTAATTGACAAGAACGTAACAACTAAAAACATTCAGGCATCTTTACACTGTAAGGGATGAATTTATGACTGGTTAAAATCCCTGCGTTTAGGTTTTTTGCTCACTCGGTAAAACACTAACCCGTACGAAGATTTAGAGGCCAAACCGTTCAAAAATTTGAACACTTAAATCGCGGTGCCGTCATAACTACACCCTGTACGGTCGAAAATTCAAATTCATAAGGCAATTCCATATATTTGTACGGCAAAGATCGTGAATACATGAATGCGTGATGACTCAGGTGGAAGACGACGCTATTTTGGATTTGCTCATTATCAAGTACGTAGTGCTCTGCACTTGGTCAGATAGTCTGAAATAAAAGTTGAATATCAACTCTGTTCGGCAGTTTCGTGTGGACAGGGCAAAATCTTTAATGGTTCCATGCAAACTTAAATGTCCGATCCAACTTTTCAGCTGCTCTAAGATTCGTGAACGATTTTTTTAACAAAGCTGATCCGCTGTGAAAAGGTAGGCATTCTAGTTTTTAGCGTTCTTTCTAAAAAAAATTACATTGAAAATTCAGTTGTTCTTTGGAATAGCTCCTCTTGACTCACGCAAAACAAGTTTTTTACTGCTCGGCGTATGCTTCCCATTTTCCAGTAGTACAACAAAGGGTTTACACTTGCGTTTATCAAGGCTACAGTTTCTGTGATTTCCCATAAGATGTTTTGTCTGATGGTGAAATCCTTGGTAAGATTAAAACGAATGGTTGCATAGGTAGACGGAGCGTAGAACACGAAAAATAGAATCACGACCTGCAGTATGACAGCCGCAGACTTTCTACTGCGTGAAAACGTTTTTGCGGCCTGCAACTTGCTTTGATCCATTATCACAGCCTGGTGCCTTCGCAAAATACGGAAAATTATCGCACAAGCCACAGTTAATGCAACACCAACTACTGCTATTATTATGATGCCAACGAGGGATAATATGTAGATGTCTATAAGCCCCAGTGGCCAGGCACATACAATCAAGCCCCATAAGAACCACATTGCTATGGCAATCGCTATTACTCGTGGGATGGTGACAAGTTCTTTATATCGTAAATGAACATATAAGGCGATTAACCGCTCTAGACTGATGGCTAATAGAGTAAGCATCGAAACAATTGCCGTATATATGACCAATCCTTCTTTAGCGAACAATAAAGGGCATACAAAGTCACCTTGGAGAAGTCGAGCTTTAAAAGCCACAAATATTGGATGAACCACAACGCCGACGGCCAGATCGGTAATAGCTAGGGAGCAAAGGAGAACATTTGATGGGTTGTGAAGAGATGGTGTTCGGATTATTGCCATTATAACCGGCACGTTTTGCAGCGTGGCCGTGAAGCATAGTATACAATTTAAAATCATGACCGCATAATTTGCGCTAAACATCTGTACACGTCTGTATTGACTGTCTTTGAAGAAAGCGCAGTCAGCAGTGTTATTTTCCATTATACCATCCGTTATCGACAAGTCAAGAACGATCCGGCGATAAGCTGATTATTAGCAGAAGCGTCT